ATAATTTATTAAGTAAATATTCTAGCGCATTATAAATTATGAAGAGAAACAAAAATGGAGGCTCGAGCCTCGGCCCGTGTACATAAGCTGTATATACGTCTCGTTCTCCCGATTCCTCGTTCCTCCTTCCTGAGCCCCCAACCCTTCTCCCTGCCCTTTACCAATCCCCCTCTCCCTCGAATAATATTTACGTATAAACGAAGAGATAGAGTCGTCGGACACGATTAGAATAAAAATCGAGATGAATTATAAACGATAGATGGGACACTGCAATATACCTGATCATCAGTTTAATTAGTGAGCTTTACGACCGCGTTATAAGATGTAAATCCGTATCGCGTACACCGCTTAATGGTTTACGAGGTGATAGACGCGTGAAAGGGAAGCCCGAGAGTGCGTGTGTGAAACGGACTTGGTACTGTTGTACAGTGAGTCTAAATAAATGGAGACATTTAAAATAAACGCGCGGAATAATTGACATTTTCCCTGCACCCTCATCCCCCTAACGATCCGGCCGGCGAAGGATTTAAATGGCGAGGTAAGTCGTTCGGCCGCTGGACAACCGATACGAGATACAAGATACGAGATAAGCGGCTAGGCCAAGGGGTTTGTTATGACGTTTATAATCGCGCGGCTCCACCGACTGCCCGACATATATATCGTTGTCATTTCGATTCATTAGAAGGTGTCAACGGTCCGAGACCGGACCAACTTGGAACCGTGCCACGGTTTCTGTCTTTTTCCAAACGGCGAGACTTCTTTCGGGATTAGCGAGCATTTAATACGGAAACGCTCGGACCGTGCGCTGGCCCCTTCGACGAAATCTAAACCGTTTATCCACGCTGAATCGATCTACCGGTGTGGATAGAAAGTTGCCGAACAAAATCACCAACGCGCGGAATTTCAATTGAAATTCTGAGGGGACAGGGTTCACCGGTTTTATGCCTGCACGGTTACCGTTTCGATCGTTTTGCAGGAGTACGGAGTAACGCTTCTGAAAATTACACGAGCGAATTAGAGGATAATGTATCTATGTAGTGTAACGGATGCGAACAGATTGTTTTACTCTTATTATTCTTATTATTCCTATTATTCCTATTATTCCTATTATTCCTATTATTCGCGAGAAATCTAGAGCGCGCAGCTGCTGGACACGGATTTTTAGGGTGGTAATAGGCTCTCGGTGGCGTGCGCCAGTGGAATTATTCTCTAAGAATAGATGCGCGCGGCCCTTCTCGGAACGTTTTTGAAGTCGTTTGCACGGTTTACCCGAAGCAGTAATTTATTCAGATGTTTGTTAACGATTAAGCCTTTCCCGGTCCGTCTGTTCGCGCGAACTCTGCCACTCGTCATAACCAGTCACCTCGAGGTTCGTCTAGTCCTTTGGATGGCGCAGTTGCAACAACATTGCGATTGCGCACCAAATTTTCCGGCGGGCTGTTACGAAACCGAATAATAAATAAATTCGCTTTTCAGCCGATCGGACGATTCGGTTTATTCCGGTCCTCTAGGACCGAGCCTGTAGCACTCGAAGAGTCCGAAGAAACATTTCAACGAAATGCCTAATTGTTCGATGGTACAGTCGACGAACGGAAAGAAAGGAAAAGGCAATCGGACCGATAGTCTTGCAAGAGCAAATTAGAAGCAACTCCCGAGCTTCCCGCAGACTTATCGTTCGCCGGAGATAATGCGATTAGCGGGGAACTGCGAGCGCGAAGAAGTTTTAATGGCGTCGCGTCCTGGGTTTCCCGGGCTGGGTTGGGTATACTCGTAAATAGAAATGCTAACCAGGCATCGGTGACCAGTCTCTCCTCGCGCAATCAGAGATGCGCGAAGAAGATACCCCGAGCATATTACCGACCTACTTCCTGTTAGCGGAATATCTGATGCTAAACGGAACCATTTTATATCGAGTCTCGTTAATGAGCCCGTCGTTAGCCTGTCGCCCATTATCTCGATATAAAACACGCGTCGTTACCGGCCCCCGTTGATCGATTAATCGTCGCTGAATCTAGGATGTCTATTAGAAGCGTGATTACGCCTGGCGAGCATGCACGTTGATTACACGTTTTACGGTTCGTCTGGTGTTCACCGACGCCACACGAGACGCCGGTGATAAGATGCGCCGCGCCCGATACGACACGATACGATCACGGCGAAAACCATGCGGGAAAAATGAATAAATGATGTCACGCGTCAGCTACCCGAACACTTCCACCGATGATTCGCTTTTATTGCTCGAGCCGGCCAGATTATGTAAGACGACGTTTCTCCTACGGCGTCGATGATCCCGATAGGGTGCACTTACAGGGGACCGGCAACAGTCCAGCTGGACGCGTCGGTTTCATAGAACCGACGTATTCCTCTCCGTGAATCGAAAGGCGCCTTTTCGGTGTCTCGTTCTCTCATTGATTTTCTTCGCGGGAATGTCGTTCGTTCGATTTCGGTGAAATTGGAGGTTTCCGCGACGCGCGGTAAAACGATTAAAATACGAACGCGGTTTCCGAGGCTCGACGAACACTCGAACGATTGCCGAGCGGAGAAGCCAGCTTTCCAGCGGGTTCGCCGTAACTTTTAGAAAGCGAGTAATTTGCATGGTAGTTAGGAGGCACCGATGTGTCACTGTGCATAAATATCGAGAGGCGACCGCGCGCGAGGTGACGATGGGTCAAATGATCGGGTGGAGGATAAACGCATCGCGCGGCCCTGTAATTCATCGATCGATCTTCGATCTACGAGCGTTCGCCGGTGCGGATCGTCGCTCGCTTGTTCGGACTCGAGGTTGGTTCGCCGCCATCGCCGACACCGACGGGTCCATATATGAAGCAGTAAGCAAGGTAGCCCGCGCCGCCCTGTAATTCAGTCGCCGCAACGTCCAAATAAAGAATTCATAATGGCGATGATGACCACCGCCAATTTTCTCGATATAGCCGATACACCAATAACTCAACCGATATCCAGCCGGTACGTCGGCGTAATTTCGCTTATTGTCCCTCGGATCTCCGCGAAACGAGAATGACATCCTATGAAAATAAAAGGCGCGGCTCGGGGGATTGCGGTCCACGGACGCCGATGATCGATATTGTACTTCGCGACGATTCTTCTTCACGCGAAGCGACTCTTCTCCATCGAAAACGGACGGGTCGGAGTTAATCGGTCGTGTCATGCGACCGCCGATTCCCACCCCTGCCGACTCACCCTTCCTCGGTTCCACATAACATCGCCGAACAACGGCTTCTATCACGAGACTCGTATACTCGACGGAGTAGCGTTCGTCGATACAGAGAGATCCATCGCGGATGGCGATTTTATAAACGAGACGTTCTTCGAACTTTTCCAAAGGATCCCGCGCGCGTTTGCGCAACATTTCCGATCGAGGAAGAAACGAAGGGACGAGCGGAAATTACTTTCGGTCCGATTTCGCGAAGAAGGGGAACGTCGGACATCGGAGAGAAAGACGAAAAGGAAATGACGTTGCGGCGGGTGTCCTTCGATTGACCTTGAGCATTCGATCCGTAACAAGAGTACCATCGTGTAATCTAAAATGGCGTTTAATTCGATGGCTCTCGACGGACGGAGCGGCCGATCGGTTTTTTCGAATATTCGACGTTGTCGGTGACGCAACGGTGATGATGCGCAACAGCGTTTTCGATAGTCGTTAACGACGCGCGGCGCAGGCCAGGGAGAGGGGCCCCTTTGCATA